TTCCCACCATTCCCTGCTGGCTTCTGCCATGTATGCTCATGAGCATGTTTGAAGGTGGGCATTGGAAGGGTCCTGGGCTTTCTGATGGATTGGTCATGGGTCTTTTAGGGAATCCTGGGTGGAGCAGTCACTGAGGTGTGACCCAAGGAGGAAATCAGGTTCCCTGAGCAGAAAACACTGCTTTTCCTCTGTACAGAGCATGGCCCTCCTGACCTCATTTCTCCAGTCCCCTGTGATGTTATGGGCATGGCAGGGCCCCCAAGCCTGCTGACTTGATGTGAGACAGAGAGCCATTCTAATCCTAAACTATGACAAAGCTTTATGCTATTTTTCTATGCTTAAGGGGGTGTTTCTTCCCTGAGGAAAGCCAATAATTATAGTTGCAGGAGCAGGCCCAGGATTGCAAGAGGAGCAGCCCAGCTCATCTCCCCAGCTGTCCTGTGGGGGATACATCTCTGTCCCGTGGAACTAGGCTGAATGAAGATCAAAAGATCAGAGCAGCCCAGGAGCAGGAGCAGGAACAGGGGAAATGGAGCCAGGATTGTGACTCACCTCCATGTTTTCCGTGGTGGGTGAGAATGTGCCAAAGGGCAAGCAAAAGCCTCATCCTGACAGACAGTGAGGTCCCAACTTGGCTCATGTCCCCAGGCAGCTTCTGCCCCAGGGGCTCTGCAGGGGATAAGCCGGTAGATTGAAGCTTATAGAAAGGGGCAGGAAAAATGTTCTGCAGATGCAAGAGGGCAGGGAGATGCAGGCCTGCCCAGAAAGGCTGCTGTGGAAAGAATCAGTCAGCAGAGAGATGGTCTCTGTACTGGTTTCCTGGAGCACTGCCATGGGGTGAGGGTGGGAGGGTGCAGAATGAGAGCGGGTGGCACCAGGTGGAAAAGGCTAGAGTCATCCAGAAGGTAGATGTGGCCAGGTACCTAAGTGACCACTTTCCATGGCCCTCAGAATTACCAGGCTACTGACCCCATGAAATGTGTGAGGAGGAAGCAGCAAAGCTTTGCAGCCAGTTTCAATACCAGCCACAGCTGGGCATGGTGGCACACACCTGTAATTCCTCAGGAGGCTAAAGCAGGAGGACCACTGCAACTTCGAGGCCAGCCTGGCTACAAAGTGAGTTCTAGGCCAGCCTGAACTGCATAGTGAAAACCTGTCTCAAATAGACACACATACACACAAAGACAACAACAGCAACAAAATACCAACCACAGCCGAAGCACAGGCAGACAAGCAGGCTCAAGGAATTGGAAGGAGGCCGGGAGGGAGGCAAGGGACAGGGCAACATCTTGGCCATGGCTTTCAGCAGCCACGAGCAGAGCCAGCAAATCACTCCCCCCATCTCCCACATCCCACAGGACCGACAGCCACGGAGCTCTTTCCAAAGGCCTCTGAGAACCTGTGAAACACACACAGTTTATTGGATCTGAAACACAAAGAGAAAAGAATAAACCTGAGTGTAAGGCATTTTAACTAAATATCTATAAAATATGTAATTACATCAACTTCATTCATTTCAAGTTCAGTGTTTCTAAATTCCCTGTTTGGAAGTGAAGGGGAGGCTTGACTTCCTCACCAGGTAAAATCTTCTGCGCACATGTAATGACAGCCCTGGGTAAGGGAGTACTTGTCGATAAGTCATTGCAAAGGCGAGGATAAGAACCCTTTTCATCTTTTCCGTGGTGAAAAACCATATATTTACTTGGAAATGTGACTGTTTTCTACTATATTAGACATGATGTGGAATGTGGATTCATCATTAGAGAAGACCCTGGGGCCTGGAATAGTCTTAAACCAGCCCTGGTCCTGCATCCAGGAATTGGGGTTCAGGCTGCATTGAACCAGATCTGGGGGGGGGGGCAGGGTGAGGGTGCTGTATCTGCAGCATAATGGGAATAGGTACACCCCAGAATGTTCACTTCTGAGTCTGTACAGCAATGCTTTCAGCCCTGAGGGACTGTTCAGAGGACTACATTCCTTCATTTAGGAACCCAGGGTCTTCCCACTGAGCTGCATTCCCATCCACTTTTTTTTTTTTTTTTTTTTTTTTTTGTGACAGTCTTGCTAAATCGCTGAATTACCCAGGGGCTGGACTCCAACTTGCAACCTTCCTGTCTCAGCCTCCTAGAATGCTAAGATTATAACCTGCACCACCATACCCCACTGGGATAAACTTTCAGATGGCAGAGGTAAAGTTCTCTGCCTTTCAGGGAAGCCCCTTTCAAGTGTGAGGAGCTGTGCAGTCTCCCTAGTGCTCATCCACCTATGGAGTGAACCTGCATGAGGGGCTGTAGTTCACTGCCCAGCGGGTGGCAAGTGGCCAGCAGCCTGGGTTCCAGGCCCTGGTGCTGGACCTCCACCCGGCCACACTCAGCAGCAGGAGGCTCCTGACTGCAGCTGGAACATCCACCACCCCTTCAGACACTCCAAGTCAGTGCCGATGGCTGGCTTCCCTTTTCAAGACGCTTTTTTATAGTTCTCCTTCCTGTGATGATTTCACTCTTACACTTGAAAAAGGGAAGAGGAGAAAACAGAGCTCTCCAGATACCTCTCTTCCCACCTCTCTCGGTCTTGAGTGCTGTTCCTCAGTTTCTATCATAACATCCCTCCCAGCCATGGCTGCTTCTCTCACTACCTGCCAGGCTTCTTTCTCGGAGGCAGCGAAGATGGCTGGCAGACACCCTCCGGCCCCGTCTCAGGCCATGCAGGGAGCATGAGGGCTGGCAGAGAATCTGCATAGATGAGGATAGCACTGAGCCCAATCGAGGCAGGATTCAGGCTCCCTCTCCTCACTCACCTCACCGGTTCAGGGCACTGATCTCAGCCCTGAGGTGGCCCAGTGGCCAGTGAGGAAGGGCATTTGTTGTCCCATGGGTGCTGCCTGCTCCTCTCCAGCTGGTGAGGTGATGAGTGACTCTTGTCTGGAGACCAGACCTGGCCCCTCTTCCCTAAGCAGCTCTCTTCCTCTCCTGCCTCCCTCCGTGCGGAGCACACAGTAATGGACTAACATCCAGGCAGCCAGCACTTTTCTGTTTGTGGAGAACACCGTCACATTGTATTGGGCGCTCACAGCAATGGGGAACAAGGCAGGGCGAGCTCACAGTTACCCTCTCGGAGCACAGAGGAATCAGCTGGAGGCTGACCTGACAAGGCTGTAGTCTGTGGCCCATGAGCAGATGAGCCAAGCTTGGCTCTTCCGACCCCCAGCCCTGTGGGGAGTGGGTCCTGACCCTGAAAAGCTGCAGGGAAGCACTGGTTCTCTCTAGCCAGGCCGGCCATCAGGCATCTTTGGAGCAGGGCTGCGCCTGCAGTCTGTAACCGTGACTAGCACCAGAATATCTGGCTCAGACAGTTTTCGGGGCGCTTATGTGCTGACATCGTGCGGAGTCATCGATTTTTAAACATAGTTTTGATCCAATTGCTACTGCCGCACTAAATCCCCACACCCGCGACTTGAGGAGGGGAGGTGTAATATGGGTCACAGTTTCAGAGATTTGAGTCCATGGCCAGCGGGCTCGAAAGCAGAAGCTTCAAGGCAAAGGGGAACTGTTCACCCCACAGAAACTAGGAAGCAGAAGAGGGGAAGAACACTGAAGAGGAAGGATCCAGAAGCCACAGTCTCCAGGGTCAGGCCCTCTGGCCACTCCTCCACCGACCCCCAGTAGCCCATCCAGCTACCAAGTCCTTTCCCATCACCCAGTCCCCCAGGAAACTCTTCATCCAGTCAAACTGATAATCAAGATTAACTGACACCAGCTGGACAGGTGCCCTATACCTATAATCCCAGCACTCGGGAGGCTGAGGCAGGAGGATCGTTGTGAGTTTGAGACCAACCTGAGCTACAAAGTGAGCTCAAGGCCAGCCTGAACTGCATAGCGAGACCCTGCCTCAAAAAGGCCAAAAAAACGAAAAGAAAAAAAAAAAAAAAAACAAACCTGACACTGAGAGAAAGATCATTTCATTTATGACAGCGTTCAGTAAATTCATTTATTGGTGTATTAACCAATTCAGTCCATATGTAAGTGTAGCAAGCACTTTGATCCAATTGCCACAAACTAAAAGTCACTGTAGCTAACCACCCAGTCCACTGAAATGTCAGTGTAATCCATCTGTCAGGTGATTAGTTCATTGATTTTTATCAAATTTACTATGGTACCTGTATCAGCTGGAACAGTAAATGTTTCAACATTTACTAAATGAATGTGACCTAAACAAAATACATAGAAATTAAAATTTTTCCTACACAAAGATCTACTTTTCTGGGGCAAAATACCACCCTTTAAACTATGTAAGATTATTTGGGCTATTTCTGGTTTCTTTCTTAACCTCTTTTGAATAGAAGGGTATATTTGCAAATTGAAAAACTAATTTTTTTCACAACTGTCAAAAGGCTTGAATAAATTATCCCTTTAGCAAGGCAGTGTGGAAGAAGGGCCGTGCCCCGGAGGCCACCTGGCAGGGGGCGTGACCCAGCGCTGCCACCTGCTGAAGGTGACATAGGTGATGCGTTTCAGCACAGGTACCTGTGGTGAGGGGGCATATTGTGGTGATAACAAGGCTGTTTTGGGGTAATAGGATTATAAGCTGCTTGCCTTGTAACTTTTCCATGTTGTTTTGTTTTGTTTTGATTTGGCATCGGGAATCCAATTGAGGACCTTGCACTTGTCTGGCAGGTGTTTATGCCATGAGCTATATCCCTGGGCTTCCATACGTTTTAAGACATCCTTTGCATAGTTTAGTTGTTGAGGATGTAAAAGGAGCTATCCCACATGGCTTCAGGATGTACTGTACTTTACTTCACCACAATAAACCCTTAAGACAGCATATTAGGTACAATTTAGCATCTGTAAACACCAAGTCACTTCTGCTTATATCATCTTTTTAGCATCATCATTGTTATGGATTAAAAACTAATGATAATGCCAGCTGAATTAAATCAGCATGGTGCTGAGCATAGATGTTCCACCTGAGGAAAGTTGCCAGCATAAATAGAAACGTGGAGAAAGAGAAGCAAGGCGTTGTGGGTTCTCCTAAGTGCTGCTGTTGAGCCGTTGGTTCTCCTGGAGGAGCTGATCATGTTGCCTTCCTCAGTGTGAGTTCAACCACTGTCATCAGAGGAGCTCTCAACCTTGTTGGTGAGAGTGGCTGTGGTTCACTTTGGGGGAGCTCTGGTCCTTACATTGAGCATCACTTACTGGCTCTAAAGGGGAAGGCGTGCGCTGCTTAATCTCCAGGAGAAACTCATCATACTGGCTTCCTGCATGTTCTTGACTGTGCTTGTCATCAGAGGAGCTCGGGGCCTCCGTGTCGCTGAGGATGGCTGTGGTGCTTTTTGGGATAGCCCTGGTCTTTGTTGAGCGTGACTTCTCGGCTCCAGGGTAGAACCCTCAACCTACTAGCACAGCTCCTTCACCCCATTAGCATAGACTTTCTAGCTTCTACCAGTGACCTTTGGGCCTTTCCAGCATAGATTGGTAAAAGAGACTGATGTGAGTCCTTCTCGTGGGCTCTAGACCTCCAGTTGAACTCATGAGAGACACTGTCATGAGCTCTGAGTCTTCATCTGGACTGACTCATGCAGGACACTGCTGTGGGACCCAGGCCCTTGGCTGAGTATTCTGGGTCTTTAGTGTTTCGGACAGATTTCCTGCACTTTCTTATGTTAACTCTGGGTGACCGTCATAAACAATATTGTAAGTCCTGATTCCAATTGTTGTCCGCACAACCCCTGACTACAATCGTTTTATCACCTTTTTATAAACAAAGAGTGTGAGACACTGAATGTGAAGTAACTTGTACAAATATCTTAGAAGTGTCTGGCTTTTGATCTCTCTGATCGTTAAGGTTCATGCTAATGTTTACTTCTAGTTCAGCCTGTGTCCTTCTCTGTTACACGAGTGTAATGTTTTATATCTCAAAATGTAGGAGGACGGAGTGATGTGATAGGGATGAAAGTCCACTGGGAATGATAAATCCTTCTACAAATGATCACGGTGCTCAGTAACAGGTACTGGAGTATGGTGGTGGTGGGGGGTGCGCCCCGGGCCCTGTGCTCCTCCATGGGCTTTGGCTGTGTCATATTCCTGTACTGTCTCCATGGCCCTGTGAGGCGGATGGCCATTACTATCTGCTATGGAGGACCAGGGAAGGCCACTGTCACACAGGTCACACAGCCTCACAGCATGGCGGGAATCCAGGTGGGAGGCTTTGCGCCGTAATGAGGCCTGAATCTTTTTGGCCAGCCTTCTCCCAGGCTTGCTTCTCGAGGCTGTGCTCCAGGGAATGGAAAACACCTACAAGAAGGTGACAGTCCACCTGGCTCTGTGGAAGATGGTAGGAGGGGGAGACAGGTCAGAGAGGAGAGGCGGGGTGTGACTCAGCCTTCTAGGGTACGTGCATATGGACCTCACGCTCACAGAGATGCAGGGGGCCACCTGGCACTCCCGGGACACTACTGCCACCTGCTGTTCACACGTTCTGCATACTGATCTCAAGGACATCTTCATTTTGTGGCTTGTGCAAAAGAATCTCAACCTTCGGTCACATTCTGCTTCAGGACGGGTCAACACTTAGCTGAGCTAGAAGGGTGTGATGATCGAGCCAAGATGTCCTCCTAGACCGAATGACCTCTGTGTGAGGCCTGCATGTCTTAGTCTCTTTCCCCACGTGTGAAATGAACACCACAGCAACAGTCTCTGCTTCACGCTAGTCTTTTAGATGAAATAAGGATTTTTTTTCCCCTCATCTACACTCTACCTTTCTATTAAAAAAATGTTAAATATGTAAAGGGCAAGTTATGATGGGGTACAATTTAGCATCTCTAAGTACCAAAAGTCACCTCTGCTTACATCATTTTTTGTAACTTTTAACAGTCTGTGTTTTTGTTTTTGTTTTTTCGAGACAGGGTCTCACTGTGCAGTTTTAGGCTGGCCTTCAGCTCACTTTGTAGCCCAGACTGGTCTCAAACTCACAACGATCCTCCTGCCTCAGCCTCCCGAGTGCTGGGATTACACGCATGTGTCATCACACCCAGCAACAATCTTCTTTTAATAAAGTGCTTCCCCTTTACATTTTGCCACTGATTTTATCAGTATTGTCTCTGTCATTTTATTTTGTATTTTATTAAAAGTATCTGAACCAAATGTGAAATAACGAAAAGGGTATCTGATTGTTTTTGTGCCACAACTTTCCTAATTATAATTGTGCCCGGGACTATCAGAGTATTTCCGGGGTTCTGATTGCCGAGTTTCACTCTTGGTTCTTTGAGGCAAATCCTTTCATGGGCAAGAAAGCTCAGGGGAAACTTTTCAAACTTAGGCCCAAGACATAAAGAATAACTCTTAAGATTTCTGCTATTGAACCAGTGTCCAAAGGTTGGCATATGCCATTATACAGTATCAAAAAATCACTTTCAGCACTGGGGAGGCCAAGGCAGGAGGATCACTGAATTCAAGGCCAGCCTGAACTTCAGAGTGAGACCCTGTGTTAAAAATATATATATAATCACATTCAGTGATTTCCTGGTATTCAAGAGGCCCTGGGTCCATCCCCCAAGCTGCCCATCCCGAATTACATTAATACTGTACCCCCATGTGTGTAGCTCTTTGAATATGACAAAATATCTGAGGATAGATAATAAAGGAAAAAAGGTTTATTGGCTCACACTTTCGTTGCGTGGTTGGCTGGCTCCTTTGCTTTAGGCTTGTTACAACACAGAAATATCATGGAAACTGAAGTTTTGGCATTACCACATCAGCATCATTCATTCATTCATTCATTGGCACCTGGGATCAAACTCACAGCCTCACACTTGCCAGGCAGGTGCTGTGCTGCTGAGCTAAATCCCCGGCCCTTCCTTTTCCATATTTATGTTGTTAGTGGCAAGTCAGCTTCAACCAAGGCCTTTAATTCTGTTTGACCTGTTTTGAATTTGTATTTGTGTGTTTAAATAAATATATCTTGTGGACTTCTGAGTTCACTAAGTTTGAATGCTGCTTGCACACATCCTACTATGGCATTATACATAAACTTGTAACTGTCATACAGCTAGAAAGGCAAAGCGTGTTAAATACATCAAGAACCATAAAATCAAAATAATACATTCCTGAGTCTGGGGCACTGTGAAGAATTCCTGACCCAAGAACCGGCAATCCATACTTGATCACAGCTGGAGCTGGGGCGGTGCTCCTGATTCTTCCGATGACCTTCTCATTGGTAGGGAACTCGCAATGGTATCTGTGACCATCTGCTAAGAAATTCTAGGTGCCCTGAAACATGGTCTTCATCCTGGGCCCCTCTGACAAATAAGAATGCAGGCACCTGTTTCACAGATGCATTTGGAAAATGGAGGTCAAAGTGCACAACTGTTTTTTGGCAAAGAACGGCAGTTTATGCTTTTCTTCTTCTCTCTCCTCTTTTGGGCGCTTTCTTTTTCCCTGATTTCATTCTTATGGCTGACTCTGGAGCTAGACAGAGTGTCCTCAATAATGGGGTTCAGGCTCCTTACACCTTGTGTTGTTTAGGCAACATAAGTCAAGATCTTCAGATGATACCAAGTGATGTGACCCACCTAGCTCGCACATGTCTTTCACCCGCACAATTCCTACATTTTAAATTACAATTAAGGACATTGATTTCAGAACAAACAGAAAGTAACCAAAATAGTGAAGATGAAAACATTCAGGCTATAACACTAGAAATGCTACCTGGTATGGGCAAATATGCTGATTTGAAAGCTCAAGAGTGTGCCTGCCTCTTCTTTTCACGCAGTATAAGGAACTGCTACGTCGGGCATGGATTTCTGTCCTGGAGGATGGTGCACCTGATAAATCACTTACCCAAATTTTGCAAGGCTCTACAGAGACTTACACACAGTTTATAGCTAGACCACAACAACAAGCAATACATAGACAAGTCTCTCGTGAAGAGGCTGCTAAAATTATTCTTCATCAATTAGCATATGACAATGCTAATGAAGACTGTAAGAGAGCGTTGGCATCAGTCCTACATACTAAAGGCTTGTCGTCTTATATTCAAATATGCCAAAATGTTGGATCTTCCACTCATACATATAGCACAGGCTGTCCCCAACACCTGACTGATAAATGTAATCAAATGTTTTAATGGTGACAAAGGAAAAATATTAGACAAAACTATGCAGCATCTCTAAAGGCTCCAGTCCCTTTAACTACTCAGGTTGTGTCTAGTCTGTGTCCATGCTGTGTGAAAGGGTTTCACTGGAAAAAACATTGTAAATCTAAGTTTCATAAAAATGGCACACTCTTGCAGAAAAACAAATCATGTGCCCACATAAAATACCTCAATAAGAGTAAGAGACCTCTGAGTCTATGCTCCAATAATTCAAAACCAATTGATAGTTTTATCTAGTCCTAATCAGACTAGCAACAATCTCCCTGTGCTCCTGGTTTCCCTAGTCTACTAAACCAATCAGCATGCAGAATTAGATTTACCCGGGGATCCTTACATTTGTTCTTTTTTTTTTTTTTTTAATTTAAAGGAAAAACAAAACAAAACAGTATAAAGGTACAAGTAATACAGAATTTCAAAAGAAAAAACAGTAAAAAATTACTAGTTAATAGATTACATATTGTCATCTTAGAAATCAAGTCTTACATTTGTTCTTTAGGAGTAAAAAGGCCAATTTTGATTTCCATGGAAATTGCCACTTCTGCCCTTAACTCTGTAAATATACCTGTTGGAAACAAGCCTTTAAGCAATAATCCTTGTTTTTCTCAGGGTATTTCACTTCATGCAAGTACTCATAAATTAATTGACAAAGCTCTTACTGCATTGCTGGGTAGCAGAACTGACATCACCATAGTAAACAGCCAATCGTGGATGCAGACTTGGTTGCTTAGTCCCGCCTCCCCAGCCTTGCTAGATTCAGGCTCTCCTCAGTCACTGCCACTACCTTGTGTCTGCCATGATAGACAGACAGGCATAGTAACGTCATTTGTTTCGTGCTCAGTTAACCAACATAAAGCTAAAGTTGGATTTATGATAAAAACCTTTTGTACTTTTATGCAAAAAAGGTTGGAGATCTCATTAATATCATTAAATAAACAACAGCAACGTGGTCAATTCAAGCCCACACTATTACAAGTAAATTTAAGAGTGCTATGGGATATATTCATTAAAATCGCTCCATTCCTTAATGATCCTATTACAACCTATTTTAATCCCCCAAATTCATTGGCATTTGGTGATTATAATGCAGATGCTTTCATAAATCTGGCTTCCATTTTTAATAATTCAAGACAGGCCTATAAATTTTTTCATTATATTTCTGAATCTTTATTAAAGACATTTAAAATTACCATAGAACAGGCTGGACAAATTGTGTTATTGTATTTTGTCTGTAAACTTATTTCTAGGCCTGTTCCTCAACAGAGTTATAATCACAGAGATTTTACAGCTAACCTGTTCTACCTCATAAATAAATAATAACAAGCTTAAATGTATTCGTGCCTCTATAGATAGCTTCCATGCTACCTGTCATTCAGGTAAACAGAATAAACATGTGATCATACTTCATTGTGTATCAGCTCTTGCTAACTTAAGGGTATCACTAACAATAAAATCTAATATTGGTCCTACCCATATTAGCCAACTTTTTCAGTGTTTTCCTGATAACTGGAATATGAAGCATTTCACAAGGATATCCTGTAAACCCAAAGGTCAGGCAATAATTGAGTGTACTCATTTTAAATTAAAAGGTCAATTAATTGAACAAAAACAAAGGGGAATAGAGGGTCAGAACTCACCTCAAATGTTTTAGATTTTGCTACGTATGTTTTAAATTTTCTGAACCCTACCTTTGATTCTGATTTGCTGCCAACTGTGATATGCTGGGGACAGAAATCTGACCATTCTCTGAAGTCCTTGCACCCTGTAGCTTGGCATAACCTCTGAACAGGTGTTTGGAATGGTCTGGTATCACTTTTAAATTGGGGTTGAGAATATTCTTATATTTCCACAGATTATTGGCAGGCATTATGACCACCAGAGGTGTTGTGTAGCCAGAATCTCACCCACTTGCAGGATGTGTCAAGACCTCGAGCAATGAACCAGATAGCGCAATCACTTATGGTCCTCAGAAGCCTTGCCCGTTTGTGGGGCTCGCCATCTAATTAACAGACAGGGTTTGGTTCAATCGCCGGACAGTTTTTTCTTTACAATGCTTGTTATCCTAACAGATACAACATGTATTCCTTTGGTTCAGGGAGAGGAATGCTGGGCTTACATACCTAATCCACCTCTGCTCAGACCCTTAACTTGGATGGACAGGCTATCAGAATCTTCCATTCTATAGAAAGCAAGAATCCTACATTTACTGTTCTTTCTGCCAGGCCCTCATATTTTCACGCATCTACAAGAATGAGCTAAAGTAAATATCACCTATCATTTGTATATCCTCCCTTATGTGTAATTGTAACCCAACTACAGCAAGACTCTAACCCATGTATGTCTGCTGTAAATCAGGTTTGGAAGACACGGAGGTCAACAGAACACTTTGCCTTACTGACCTTGACTTCCTTTCCCTCAGATGGTAATCTTGTTAGAGAATTCAAACCTAACATTCCTATCTGTATTCCAGTAGCTCATGCTCCTCATTTCTAGGAAGGTGATTTGGGTCCTTGGCAGTCTTGCAGAGATCTGTACCATGGGCGGATTATACACAAATTCAATTATTCCTTTATAGACTGGTGTCCCAGAGGTGTACTTATGGGAAAGGGTCAAGATTGGCATAAGATTTCCTTTTCCTGACAATGCAATAACTTCAGAAGCCTTGGGGATTTAGCTCAGTGGCATAAATGCCTGCCTTGCAAGCGCATGGTCGTGAGTTTGATCCCCAGTACCGATTAAAAAAAGAAAAAAACTAATGATAATATTACATGGTCAGGTAGAGGCCTCAATTCTCCTATTCCTACACTTATTATCAATGACAGGGCTGGGCCCATACAGCACACTTTATGGAGGCTAGCCTTGCCTTTTCATGTAGGACAGCTGCAGACTGGACATCTGCAGTCAGTTGATGGAGGAAAAGTAAAAATAGAGTTACAGAGTGATAGGTATATAACAGTAAACATATGTATTTGTGATCCTTATGTAC